TCAGAAAATGAATTAAGAGTAAGCTACCAATAAGAACATTCCTTACTAATTGGGCTACAAAGGTCTGGACAAAAGTCTAGTCCTATTGTCATACTACGTAGTAGTGTGCATCCATGACCCCATCTCGCGCGCGATTGCATAACTTCTACACCACTGAGCTGACCGGCATCCAACGGTGTTAGTGTCTAAATTCAACCAATTCACGAAACTGAGCGACACATCCACTATTGTCATTAGTGAGTTACTATCTCACAACAGATCCGGTTGAACTCCAATGGTCACTACTTCTCACTAGAACTCTAGGAAATACTTCTTGAAGCTAGTCACTCGTGAGCATATGTTGATAAATATCAAAAGGGGTTTTATGATTTTAATAAATCCAATTTTTTGTGATCATGAGACCACCATAGAAAACCTGAAAACGGTGGATGACCATTTCGTCTTATTGTAGGACTCATCATCATTAACTCATGATTTTAACCATTGAAATTACTATAATATTCATAAAAACCCTTCTGAAATGTAAAAAACATAATTTTGCATACAGATAGATAGATAGTGTTTTTTTCCCAGTTGGGGTTCCACTAATTGTAACCACTGATATCCTGGTTGAATATCAAATTCAGAACTTCAAGGTAATGACTGCATCACAAATAGGTCAATAAATTGACTTGGGATGATTCACATTCAAGAGTTAAATTAATTCAATGTTCAGTACTACGATTCTAGAATAATAACATTCATTACTGTTTTACCTCTAATATAAATGAACTTAATTAATCTTAATTTATCTCCGCAATTGATGGAATCCATCCCTAAGTCACAAATGACTATACAAACATATTTTTGTTAAGAGTTTGTATAAAGATTGTTTTATTCTTCTAGTTTAATAGTTAGAAACAGCTATAAGTACAAATGGAATTCACAACACAATGTATTTCAACAAGTTCCCTTTTCTTAATTCTTAATCAATCCTGACGATAAATACTGAGTGATCATCAGTTAGATATTAGGATAACAGAAGTCGACATCTGAATAATATTTCTTCATTTCAATGCATGTTGCCAGTCATCACAATGTTTCCAATTGAACAGTTTTGTAACTTGTACAATGAAAGATTGTAAACTTTTGATAAACGCGCCCGAATAGGTTATGCCATTATTAAACATAATAATATGTTAAAACAAGCAAAAACATATAGCTTGTTAAAATATCTAGATGGTAGGAACAAGTAGCCCAGATATTCCAACAGGCCGCTATCGGAAAAAGATGTACACGAATATTTGATTATGTTCAACAAACGGAATGTAAATATTTCTTTAACATTGTTCATTGCAATATACATTAATTGTAATATAAATGAGTAAATTAGTATGACCGTATTCATTTACCTGCCATTTATTAACACACACACACACAGAGAGAAGCACACATACATACATACATTGCTACATATATACGCATAAATACACCTTAAAGTGAACAGTTACACATAGAGTTACCATTACATGACTGATCATATTTGAGTTGACACGAAAATTTGTGTCAAATATGTTATGTTATGTAAAGATATATACATATACATAATCACATACATTTAGTTCCTTCCGTTCAATTTTCGATCTTGATTTCATTTAATGATAACAGAATGACAGGCAGTTTTATTATTATTTTTTTTCAAAAGAAGGGAAGGAATATGGAACATTGCTGATATTCCTCTTCACTATGTATCACTCTTTTTACAACCACCCCACCTATCGTCACCACCATCACCACCTCACTTTCGTTCTGTTGCTTGTTTTATGTATGTAATGTAGAACTAATTACAACCTTTTCATTCACCTTTTTTTTTCTTCTTTATATTTGATTTAGTTCAAAACAAAATTTTATTTAACATTCAGTTTATTCAATGTTAAGAATAATTGTAGATTAAAACATTTACTTCTTATCATTAATGGATAACTATTTATAGACGGAATAATTTCTAAGGGTTGCTTAAACATCGATATTTTGAAATTATTTAATGTAAATGATCTTTTAAGGGTGTCAATTCGTTGAAAATTATTCATGAACTATTATTAGGTGTAGTTTTCCATGTGTACAATGTCTTAGTAAACAGTTACAATCTTCTGAATGATATAGGAACTATTTTAATAAATGAAAATTCAGGTGGGGGACAATCAATTTATTTCAACAGTTGAGATCATGAGTCAATTGAAGTCAGACCACCATGGAAAGTCTGGAAGCACTGGACGGCCGCTTCTCCCTATTGTGGCACTCCTCAGCAGAGCCCATCCACAACCCCGCCTCGTGGGATTCGAACCCAGGACCTGTCGACTTCGCGCCAGGCGCTCAACCAACTAGACCACTGAGTCGGCATCCAACACTGTTAATGTCTAACTTCAACTAATCCACGAAATTGAGCGACTTATCCACCATTGTCATCAGTGAGTTACTACCTCACAACTGACCCGGTTGAACTCCACTCCATAGTGGTTTAGCTTCAATTGACTCATGATCTCAACTGTTGAAATTACTACAATCTCCACAAAACCCCTTCTGATACTAATCAATCTATTGTTTAATACAAATTATAGAATATCTTGATAAAATAGGTGAACTATATATTAAATACTTTATTTGTAAATCTCGCATTAATTATCCTCCATATTCTGTATGATTCTTCCACTTCATAATTCTTTTCCATTTATCTTTCTATTTTCTTCAATTCGATGTTCTCAGCCTACTTCTGTCAAGCATTCTACTTCTAATTGATGTCATATACTACTTATGTCGACAGATATAAGTAGGATACATCATACTATATGTTATTTTCACAGTTCAGTATATAATTTATCTATTCAGTATACTTAGCAGGTTTATAGAGATTGTTCAATTTTATAGTTAATATTCTAAATCGAACTAAGATAATAAATGAAAGCATCATGAAAAGTATTAGAAGTACATATATCTCATTTTAGTTAGAATAAAACATTGACTGGAATCCATTGAAGATAACATGACAAAGAATAAGATGTTTGATCTTCAAAGATCTCACAATCAAAACCCCCCTTTAAATAAATATTCAATGATAACAAGTTTATAGTTCTGTATATCATTAGTTTCGTTATTCGAATGATTCTGTTCATTGATATATACATATATCTCATGAGACTGTTGGATACTTATCACATTCTAAACTTGTTGATTACTGTTTTGTTAGTAAAATATATTTTCGCTTGGTTCCGTATGGAATTGTAGGTTATAATCAGTTTTACATTTTTTGTCTACATATAGAAACCAGAACATTCTATTGATCTACTCTATATAAAAAAAATACCAGGAAAAGTCGGTTTCGAATAAAGACTAGTTTGATATTACCCCTTTTCATTCCCTCTCCCTTATCCCTTATTCAAAATAAAGAACTTATTTTAAGTAGTAATTATTTTTTTGATACCTGTAATCACTAGTTATGTAATAAATAAATGTTCCAGTAATCAAATATTTTTGTGATAGTGTCTCTGTGTGTGTGTGTGCGTTTGGTTGGTTGGTCAAGTTATACTGGATAATTACGCTAATATGATCTTTATGAACAAGTTAAATCATTATCAAATTTAGCAACAGTTTTAAAAAGAATTATAAAGACTATAATTTTCTTGTATAGGGAATATATGCTCATATAGTTTATTATTATGCACAGTGATTATGACGTAATTTAAAGTGTTAACTATATATGTATATAGTGTATATAGTGTAATTATCATTGAAATAATAACCATAAAATAGTGAACAAAAGTTATGTCATCATTAATGTTTAAAGGTAAGAATTAACTTGACCCATTCTTAAAATGAACTAAATAGTTGAAATATCATGGACTGATCTTAATTGCTGAACTATTGTAAACTTATGAAGCTTTGGAGAGCATGTTGTTGTCAGTATAAATTTGAGTTAGATAAATCTATGAAATGTATAGTCCATAGGTTCGACCTCACTGGCTGAATTTTTTTGAGATGAACTACTAGAGTACCTCTATCTAAAAGAAGAAAAAAAAACCTATTTAGTTCCTTATTGTTTTATAATGAAGCATCAATTCATATTCATCCAATACGTATAGCCGATTGCCAATAAATGATGAATAGAAAATATGATACTGATTACTTCAGTATTTTAAGAGAACTAATATGTATATATAAACAATGATGACCACTTTGTAAGTGTGTACTTTACATAAAAAATGATCGGAAATCCAGATATTTTAGATTGTTTGGAAGTCACTGTTTATTATATATGTGTCTTTAGTCATGGATATCGTTTACACAGTGTCATAAAGTGTTTTGGATTAACATACTACTTTACTTCGACTACTAATAGATTTTCACCACACTCTTTTTCAAAGTTAAATGGTGAAAAGTATTATTAACTCAGTGATTAACTTACTAGGTTATCATTTCAAAATTCTTTTCAGTTTGAGAAGCTGATTGATTTCGTGATAAAACTATAATTTATGGATGAGTCAATCAGATATAAAATAACAGGTCTCGGATTTTGGCGTGAAATCCATCCATCCATCCATTTGGCTACATAAAAGTTTGACATTATAGCTTATATTTGTTCGTGATGAAAACCCTTAATTTAATTGCTAACTATAACCATGAACTGTAAATCACAATTTTAATTCCTCACACTGGTTTATAACTCTCATTTCGTCTTAGTTATTAAGTGAACACTCTCAAAAATCACTTCAGCTTTGCTCAAAGATCATCCACCCACCGATTTCTTTAATCTTCATATAAATAAATTGTGTCTAAAAGTTGAGTACATAAAGTTGTACTTGATAAATGAATTACATTACTGTATTAAGTAGTAAAGAATGTATAGATGATAGATGAATAGATATATGTTTTATTTATGATCCATGAAATTAAAAGAAGCAATTCATTGTATTATTAAGTAATTATTGTATAAAATTGTATTGATTTTTCCTTTATCTAAATTGTAGAATGTTTCCAATGACAGCATTTCCATTGAATCCAGTAAATTGTGGACGATCATCAACAGATTTAATATGGTCTAATCCTGAAGCATTACAGAATATTGGATCTGCATTGAATTGTGATAATTTATCATATATCAATAATAATAATAATAATTCTTCATTGTCTAATCAAAATTCAATAAATAATAATACATCATCAGCAATAATCACTAACTCTTCAAATTTCCTTTCCTCACGACCTAATTATACCTGTACTCTTAATCAAACTTATCGACTACAAGAAAATCGAATTCATACAGGTTATTTAAATGAAGAATTATCAGATCAATGTAATGATAATATTGTTACTACTAATACTACTACGACCACCACCACCATCACCACCACTGCTACTCCTCCTCCTCCTCCTCCTCCTCCTCTTTCTAATTGTAGTAACAATAATAATGATAAATCTCATATAGATATCTCTAATAAATCATCTACATCTAATACTATGATGAAATCTGAAAGTTTATTACAATTAAATAAATTCCCTTCATCATTATGTAATACAATGAAATCAAATAATTCAACTTATGAGAATTGGTCAAATGATCATAGAAAACGTCATAAAAAATCTAAATTACATTCTATTATTCATACAGATAATCATTTTATTCATAATAAATCAACAGAGAAAACATCACCTCATTCATTATATATAGATGAATCTATGAATGAAATGATATACAATAAGGTAACTTCATTAGAGAATGAAAAAAATCAATTAAATTCATTACAATCAACTACAATTAATCTTGTATCTAAGACAAAATTATCTAATTTAAAACAATTAACTAATGAATTATCAAATGAACAACAACCACAGCAACAGCAACAACAACAACAACAACAATTGAATTATTCATTTAATATGTTACCTACAAAAGTGAATGATTATACAAATCAATTATTATGTAATGAATATAATGATAATCATTATAATAGTTTACCATCCCAACAATACAGTAATAATAATCATTGTCCACAATCTATTCATCATGATAAATCCCAATTGAATAAAAATATTAAAGAATCATTAAATCATATTTTATCTACAAATTATTCATTAAAACATAATCATTCACAGAATACAAGAAATTCAATCAATGAAGAAGCAGTTGATGATGATGAAGAAGAAGAACAAGTAGAAGAAGTAGAAGAAGAAGCATATAAAACAATGATCAATACAAGTAATCATAATGATCATGATATTGTTACAAATTCTATTTCCATCATGACTACTACATCGACGCCGACGTCGACGTCAACGACGACGACGATGACGACTATTACTACAACTACAACAAATAGTATGAGTAATATAGAGAGAAGATTAAATGATCCATTAACACATTCTCATAATGAAATGAATACAAATACATGGAATACATCTATACCATCAGAATATTCAACAAATATATTACCACAACATTTAGCTTCATTCTATTCGACTTGTTCAAATGAGATTGCATTTAGAAAAAGTTTAATATTTAATAATCATCAAAATATGAATATAGAATCAACAAATTATTCCACATACAATAATAATAATAATAGTAGTAGACAAGACTCAGAATGTCGTACATCTTCATCACCATTACCTTCTATTATACAAACTAATATAGACATGAATTCAAGTTCTATGTTAAATTGTAATGAGGTGGATAATTTTAATAAAATATCTTCTTCGGATGAAATTAAATTCAATGTAAACACTAATAGTAACCATAATGAATTAAATGAAATGAATGTTAATTCAAAGTTCAACAATCCTATACAGCAACAACAACAACAACAATCTCAATCAAGGAGAATAATTAATGATTCATTAATACAGAATGATTTAGACACATGTAAGTCAATACATCATAATTCAAATCTCCCTCCTCCTCCTTCACATCATCATCAACAACAACATCAAAGACAAAGAGGATTTGAAGATGATCAAATGATTGATGATTTAAGTGTAGCATATCATTCAGCAGCAGCTATGGCAGCTGCTGCTGTTGTTGCACAAGCAGCTGTAGCAAGTGCAAATGTAACAAATCATCAATTGGAACATCAACATCATAATCATCGTCATGAACAATCAATACATCAACATCAACATCAACATTTACATTCACATCAAAATCAACATCAACAATCTCAATATATTGATAATGAACATTCCATGTTACATACACATATGGAACAATATGGTGTACATACTAATAATAATGGTAATAATAATGATAATGTTTTACATCAATCACAGTATAATATGATGAATCAAAATTTAGGATTATTCCCTCTTATAAATAATACAAATTCATTGAATAATGCACAGAATATAAATAAAACAATGAAAAATAAAAAATTAACAATGACAGGTCAGTAATTGTTTTCTATTATGTAATATCAATTGCATATTTAATCTTAATCTTGACACGCATGACATTGATCGCCGCCCAGTGATCGATCAATTGTGATTACATCTCAATCTTGCAGGAGGTCGGTCACGGCCTGAATAGCCCAGTGGTAACGTCTCTAACTGTGAAGCTGGGTGACATGAGATCGAATCCGCCAGGGAGCACCAGCTCCTTCAAGACTAAAGGTACACCTTGCTGACGAGTGTCAAATAGCACGAAACCCGGGTTCAGGGTTTCCTGTTGACAACCTCCAACCACCATCTAATCTCAACATAGTGCATGCAATGTCGGGTCACCAAGACTAGTAGCCACAATGCGACTTGATCGATAGCATTTGATCTGCACTAATAAGGACTGGACACGCATGACGTTGATCACCACCCAGTGACAAATCAATTGTAATTCATGAGTCCGTTTAAGCTAGATCATCATTGAAAAGTTAGAAGCACTGAATGGTTATTGAGTCCTAGTCTTAAACTGTTCAGTAGTGCGCATTCGAGATTCGATAACAATCAATAATGTAAGTTATTAAATCAATTTCGTTAGATTTATAGATAGATACTTCCTACTGTTTGATATTTATCAACTGGATGCAAAATTTTCTCAATTGGCTGTTTACACTAAGACTCAAGATCAGTATTTATTACGATGAACAATAACGTGTTATCTATGAAGCTACTAGGTTCATATTATCTATGGATATATTCAATGAAGATGAAGTCATCTGTAATAGTTTGTATTGTCTTTAACTGGATTCCTTTGATATTAGTAATCCAAATATATTAGGTTTACTGAAAACAGAATTGTAGTATTCTCGCCCTCAAATTATGATTGGTACAAATTAAATAGCTCTTCAAAGATGGTTATATGGTGTACATAATTAGATAATTCATTGCCGAAGTACTGAAATTGTTGTGCATGGTTAAGGAAAGCAGTAATGAAGAGTTTCATACTTGGTCATATAATTGGTGCTGGACATTAAATTTTACGATAATCTGGTGTTTTAGTTCACCACATTACTTGATATTTCCTTCATTGTTAATGTAAACATTTTCTATACACGATTAAAGTCATCATTATTCTTCTGCAATATTTACATTCCTATCAACATACCCATTGATTTCATCCAGTATCTTATTTGATGAATCAGAACGAATGATTTACAAATTTTTAAAAATCTTGTTCTCTCTTTTCCAAATGGTATATATAGTCAAATAATACACGATATCATGCAACCATCTTGCATTGTCTCTAGTGAGTAACTGTCCTAGGTTCAAACCCTGTATGTAGGATCATGAATGCTCACTACTGAGGTGTCATGTACAAGGATGTAACGACCATCCAATGCTTCTTGGTTTTCAATGAAAATCTAACTTACATCGACTCATGAATTCAATTTATAACTTTATAATGAAACAATTCAGTTTATTTGATAAATAATACTATAAGACACACAACAAATAGATTAATAGTCAAATACAACTTTCCGTAACAAACTAACAATTTAGTTCATTGTGCAAACTATAAATAATAAAGAAGGAAATATTCAATGGATAATTAACATCAAATGGGTTTTGTGGATATTATAGTAATTTCAATGATTAAGATCATGAGTCAGTTGAAGCTAGACCACCATGGAAAACCTGAAAGCACTGGACAGCCGTTTCATCCTATTGTGGGACTCCTCAGAAGTGCGCATCTACAAAACCGCTCGCGAGATCCGAACCCATTAACACTGTTGGATGCATACTCAGTGGTCTAGTAGTTAAGTGCTCGCGCGCGAAACCAGTAGGTCCTGGGTTCGAATCTCACAGGGGGATAACTAACATTAAAACCATCATTATCATTCTATTGAAGTGAATAATTAGAACTTCATTTTAATTATTCTATGAAGATTTTAAGCGTTTATGAGATTTACCTCTGAAAATTATTTATTGACTTATTGAGTTATAGGTAAATATATTATTTTTTTACCATTAGCAACAAATAAAAAACTAGTGGTGTTCAACCGGGTCTGTTGTGAGATAGAAACTCACTGAAGACCATGATGGAGGTGTCGTCCGATTTTGTGGATTAGTTGAAATTAGACATTAGCACCATTGAATACCGGCCAGCTCAGTGGTCTAGTTATAAAGCGCTCGTAGGAAATCGGTAAGTCCTGTGTTCGAATCGGGCAGGATCATGGATGCGCATTGTTGAGGAGTCCAACAATAGGACAAAACAGCCTTTCGGTGTTTCCAAGTTTTCCATGATGATCTAGCTTCTACAGACTCATGACCTTAACTATTAGAATAAATCTTCATCCATTGGGGCTTAGGGATACATATTGTTTACGAGTTCTGTATTAGAATGAAACAAGTATTTGATAATTCCTTGTTTTTATTATTCATTTATATACAATCAGTTCATAATGTAAATTATAAAATAATTATACTAATCAATGAGATTATATTGACCAATAGAGAATGATCATAATTTATTTTTTCATTAACAGAAGGAAGAGAATGTGTCAATTGTGGAGCAACTAGTACACCGTTATGGAGACGAGATGGACAAGGAAATTATTTATGCAATGCATGTGGCTTATATCAGAAAATGAATGGTCAAAATCGTCCATTAATTAAACCTAAACGAAGATTGGTAAATTGTCCTTTTTGGTTATTATTCAAAACCTTCCAGCTTTTTTTTTATTATAGATAAATGTTTCATTCATGATACCTTTGCATGTTGATCATTATCGTTATTAGTAAACAATATTCAGTCATACTGAAAATCATCAAAGGGGGATTTTGTGGAGAATGTAGTAATTTGATAATTGAGTTCATGAGTCAATTGAAGCTAGACCATTATGGAAAACTGGAGGCATTGGGGAGTCGTTTCGTCCTAGTATGGGACTCCAGCAGTGTGCATGCACAAACCCGCTCGCGGGATCTGAACCCATAGCCTTCACTCTTGCGCGCGAGACCGGATGTCCTGGGTTCGAGTCCCACTCACAGGATCGTGGATGCGCACTGCTGAGTCCCATAATAAGACAAAACGGTCGTACAGTGCTTCCAGGTTGTCAATGATGGTCTAACATCATTCGGTTCATGATCTCATTCGAAAACTTAATAATCTCCACCACCCTATACTGATAATGGTCAGTTTCTAATCCAAACTATAAAATTCAACAATCTTTACAAAACCCCCTTCAATGATAAACGATTTTTTGTAGATCTATATCACAACATGTTCCATATGGTATACTATTAAAATTAAATAAATCAATTAGATAGAAACATAATTCATTTGTGCATTCAACATTTAATCTAATTGTTGATTAACATTTTTATTATTATGATTATTATTTTCAGTCAGCTATTTGGTATTCACCTTAACAACAGCGGTAATATTGTCCATCTATTATTATTTTATAGAATTCAATTTGGACATTTCTTTTCATACAAAAGAAAACTACATATAGCATTATCATAATTAGAATAGATTAGTGTAATAATAATAATAATAATAATAATAATAATAATAATGGTTACTACCGTTATTTCACTTACATAATGTTCTCCCATATGGAATAGAAAGTAGTAAAATTTGATGGAATGCATTTTTGGTTAGATTAATATAAGAAATAATCTATGAAATATGATTGATTAAGTCATGTTTGAAAATAAGTGTTGAATGTTTCTTGTTCTTTAAATAACCAACTTAATTATTTCCATAACAACGTATCGATTAATATTCTGTCTAGACTTAGATAATAAGTCCTGGATCATTTTTATTTATTTATTCGAAATATGATTTCCTTTTAGTTGTTTTATCTAGTTTAGAGAAGAATCTATCAAAAATTCTATTAAAATAAAAGCAGTGACTGGTAGAATTCAATGAAGTTGAAAGATTGATATAGATCATCGAGGACAATGACTGATAATTTCAATAGTTGAAATCATGAGTCAATTGAAGTTAGACCACCATGGAAAACCTCGAGGCATTGCACGACCGTTTCATCTCATTACAGGACTTCTCAGCAGTGCGCATCCACGAACCCACCTTATGAGATTCGAACCCAAGACCTATCGGTCTCACGCGCTAACGCTTAACCTATAGACCATCGAGCTGGCCGGGATCCAACAGTGTTTATATATAATTTCAACTAATTCACACTATCAGACGACACATTCCCCATTGTCTTCAGTGAGTTACCATCTCACAATAGACCCGGTTGAACACCGCTGGTCACTTCTTCTCACTAGAATTCCAGAAAATATCTCTTGAACCCAGTCATGATCTCAACTATTGAAATTACTATAATATCCACAAACTCCTTCTGATAGTTGATCAATTTTTTTTCTTTTTTAATTGATTAAAATTAAACTAATGAAACTTAATGAATTCGGATTTGGTCAAAATGTATTAAAGTCCTATATAACATATTGGGGTTATGTAGAAATTTTGATGAAGAGTATACAACTATAATGTAATAGTTAACTCATATTCTTTTTCCGAAATTCCACTTAGTGATAAAGAACTAGACTTATGACCGGTGGTGATTATAAATATCCTATGTTATTAATAGATCAATTATTGATTGCTTATTAACTATGAACACTAATAGGATCTCTAATGATTTTATATATAAAACAATTAACGTATTTCAATACCTCACTGTGTGGTATTATAATTATTATTATTAAATAAGAATTTTTGTCTAGATTTCATCGAATGGTTTCACGGTATTTGGGTGCTAAGTTGATGCAAGACATTAGAGAAGAAGAATGTTGTATTTGTAAAATCCCATTGAATGAATTTGAAGTAAATCCAACATTTCGCTTAGTAATCTGGTCCAAGCTTTTTTCAAGGAAAATATAATCAAACACCACAAGTATCGAATATAAATAGGTACGTAGTTGTTCGGTTTACTGTATACTGAATATGTCATCCAATCAGTGTTAACAATGTTTAAGTTAGGTATTTGCATTATTGTGTAAGAGATATGTGGTGTGAAACGAAAAGTGTTAAGATAACAGATTGTGCGTAGACGTAAGTGAGAAGAAGGAATTTAATTTATTATATATTGTATTTGGTCGGTGAATATTAAGAACACTTGTCTCTTACACATATAATACAAATACCTACGTTAAATATTATTATCATTGATTGGACCCATTCAGCATACAGTAAACCGAAGAACTACGTACCTATTTATATTCGATAATTTCGACGTTTGATTATATTTCCTTAAGAAAAGCTTGGACCAGATTGCAAGGCGGAACATTGAATTTACTTCAAATTCATTCGCTGAGATTTTACAAATACATTCTTCCTCTTTGTTATTATTATTATTATTATTATTATTATTATTAGTAGTAGTAGTAGGAATGATAGTAGTAGTAGTTATAACACTTTCAACACCTAAATCACAAGTCCTAATCCTTATTTCATCATCTTCAATATAGATTACTAAATACTTTCATTAGTCTTTACTAAATTATTGAGTTCCATGACTCCATAACAAAAAATGACATATCATCTAATGAACCATTAAATCTAGAGCTCAATTCCCAACAGTGTTAACTCATCTCATTTCAAAATAAGGGCCTCTATCAAACTCTTTCATTTATTTAAAAAAAAACAACAACTCACTTCATTGAATATAATTCATGATATTTTCCGCTTAATTTCCCCTTTAAACCATATTAGTTACTAAAAGTCAATAAATGATATTTACTAAAAAGATCTAAATCGATAAAATATGATAGTTAAAAGGAAAAAAACAAACAAAACAAGACAACAAGTTACATAATATAAATAAATAATCATATTTACGCATCATTGAAACATTTGACATGCGTCCATGTATATATGCATTCATTATACACAATGTCATCTTTATTAAATAGGATGAAACGCGCATCTTGGATTCCACTACTAGCCACTATCCATCTTTGCTTATTAATATTACGCCTATTTTTTTTAAAAAAAGAAAATATTTCCAATAAAGAAGTATGAAGATATTAAAGTATCAATTGCTTGTTATTAAATATGACCATTTGTTGCCTTGTTGGATTAGTTGCTATGATCAACATGAAAAAAAAAACGAGGAATATATATTAACCTAGACCTACTGATGATATTTCTATTATCATTACTATTTTAAGTAATGATAATGATGATAATAGTTATATTTATAGGATTAATGTCAAATGGGATATATATGTATATTTGAATCAATTCTAAATATTTTACGGTGTTCATGGGATTGCACAATTTAATATATCGATTAAGAAGTAAATATCATTACCTTAGAAACTAATATGAAAATTTTAAGACATAAATTTATTGACAGATCTTTTTGTGACAAATTGTTACTACGATTGAGTAATTTCATGTTTAATAGAAAATTATAAAACAAAGGGTAAAGTTGTCATTAAAAACCTGCTGACTTGATAAAACAAGATTATGAAATTTGTATGTTTGAGGATATTGTTTTATCTAAGATTAGATTGATATCTCATGAATGGATCAATGTTAGACCACCATTGAAAACCTGGGAGCATTGGACGGTTGTTTCGTCCTAGTATGGGACTCCTCAGCTGTGCGCATCCATGATCTCGCACACACCAATCGAACTGAGGATCTTTGATCTCGCGCGCAAATACCTAACCTCTAGATCATTGAGACAGCATCCAATGGTGTTAATGTCCAACCTCAAATAGTCTACGATATTGCGTGACCATCTTTTATTGTCTGAGGTACATACCTGTCTCTGCCTGATATTCATTCGCTCCACTGGTTACAGCCGTTCAATGCTTCCAGGTTTTCAATGGTGGTCTATCATTGATCGCCACAATCTCACACTGAAAATGGTTATATAATATATGTCAGTATTTAAATTGTATTATATTTAGTTGTCTACAAGACCTACTAACTTTGTAAATAAATGAATTAAACATACTATAAGAATAGCATGTCATTTTAATCAGGATTCATTAGGGTGTTACAGTTTCATTTGAAACGATCTTACATGTACGCTTTTGACTTGGGATTAATACATAAGTTATCTTATTGATTTGCTTTCTATTTTAAGAGTAGTTAAGTTGATAGATGCAGTTACATTTTGGACAGTTAAATCTTAGAAAATCTGTTTGGTAGAACTTCATTGTTCTGGCTTAAGCAATTAATACAAAGTGTGTTTATGATAATAATGGTAATAATAATAATTACAGTGAAGTTTAGTTACTTGACCTTGATTACATTTTTATTTTACAGCAATCCTCTAGCAGACGTACTGGTACTATATGTTCCAATTGTCGTACAATAACAACTACATTATGGCGTCGAAATACAAATGGTGAACCTGTTTGTAATGCGTGTGGACTTTATTTCAAACTGCATAATGTAAGTATACTATCTATATGGTCTGTGTTTATATGTAACTTATGTGACTTGATGAAGGTTGACAAATCAAGGTCATTGTAATTGTAAAAAAAAGCAGACTTGTGCTTTGATCAGTCTTTGTTGATATATGTGGGTTCTTTAGGAATTCCCGTGATATAAATGTTCCACCACAAATTTTATGCGATAAATGGATTTAGATTTGATCGTGAATATCAATGATGATATGTTTCAAAATCACACTAATAATGATTACAACAACATGCATGTTGAATAAGTTGGTGCCTACCGACACTCAGTGACTTAGTAGATAATCAGTTGACGTTTGAAGCGGAATGTACTTGGCTCGATACTGAATACAAACCTTCACACTGAGATGTGAGTTTAGCCATCTGACAGGTCCCAAATAAAATGAAATGTGTGTTTTTGGATTCTGATGATAGCCAAAATATATATCTTTTTTGATAGATTTGTACCAATTACTAGATTCACATAGTAATAAAGAGATGATTGAACAACTACAGTAAGATATTCATTTGTAGTAATCAATATCATGTTAGATAATTCTAAACGCTGATTGAATTCTATGGGTTACGTTTACTGTGTGACCAATAAATTAAGTAATTCGATGTAGGAGTAAACTTGATTTTACAACCAGCAGTTGATGGTGATGGTTGGTCTCTAAGTTTACTGTTCAATATCTGATTAATGTAATGTAAGACCTATAGGTGATGGTGAAGAATTCTAACTCTTTTAATTAATATCATCGTATTGGGAACGAGAAATGAGCATCTTTAGTTTAGTTGCATATTTGATTGTTAGCATACATTGACGTGAAGTCAAACACTAGACTGAAACACCCTCTTATTTAAAATCACTCTGCAACCTTCTACAAAATACGATGAAATGTAATTTTAAGATAGAAACATTTCAACTCAAACCCATTCAACTAAACTTGTTGTAATTAAGGATTTGAAAGTAAATTGCTTATCTAAAACTCGGGTTTTGTTTGATTTAATGGTAAAATCTCTTAAGTAAGATATCCATCAAAAGCTAGGAAATAGCAAATGGCTGTTTTATCCTGGTATGCAACTGATGATCACTGCTCATCCATAATCTTGCCACTGGGGACTGCTTCTAGGACTTTTAGTCTTGTGCGTAAAATCTTGACCTCTAGATTAATTATCCGATGTCCATTAAGATTCCATAACCATGTTCCATCGTTTTCTGTTGGCAACTGCTTCATACCTGACAACGTTGAATTCTAATATTCAAGGCTTTTCACTTAAATTCCAGAGTTAATCACCAGAGATGGTTTAATATATTTAAATGGCTAACCAACACAATACTATTTATTTTGGTAGCAAACTTGTATGCTTTTAGTGTAAGATTTTTCATTCGAAGTGTTTTTTTTACTAAGATATACTGATAACATTCAATAGCACGAATGATTGTCTTCATCCTAAAGTTCAGATTTAATAAACTCAGTTCAGTTTACAATCATACTGATAATTTTTCTAATCATAGTGATGCAATAGCTTGGTGATTAAAGCGTTAGACTCATCCCCTTAGTCATACGTTCAAACCCCACCTTATTTACTTTAATTTAAGTAACGTGGTAGTAGTATTATTAACCCTTGAATTTAGAGTTTGGCTTATACTGAAGTACATAGTTAATGAGTTAATTGCTTATTTATTTATTTCTTCATTAAGCTTCCTAGTATTGCTTAAAGTTTTATAAGAGTTTTCCTTCTTAACTTACTTACTTACTCCTGTTACTCCCAATGAAGCATAGGCCGCCAACCAGCATTCTCCAATCCACTCTGTTCTGGGCCTTCCTTTTCAGTTCTAACCAATTTTTGTTCATTTTTCTCATGTCTGTCTCCATTTCTCGGCATAATATGTTCTCTGGTTTTCCTCTTCTCCTCCTTCGACCATGAGGATTCCATGTGAGGGCTTGATTTGTGATGCAGTAGGGTGCTTTCCTCAATGTGTGTCTTATTCACTTCCAGTGCTTCTTTCTTCACTGGGATCAGATTAAGAGTTTTCTTGAAATCATATTAAGTATTAGAAGACTAAACATTTCCTTTATTATTATTAGTTTGAACCCGATAGGTAGTCAGTTTGTTGTATATCTAAAACAGTTCTTGATTACATAACAAAATTGATTGTTATAGGAATATTACATGTTTACATTACACAAATCAGATTATATAATTTGCATAGTTCTGTCGTCATTTCTATTAAAAGTATCCGCCATAACTTTTATAGGAGCCCTATTAATAGACGTCTCTTATTATCACAATTGAAAGTTTTATACAAAAGATTCTTACTTAAAATATGAACAACTAATATGATTATGTATTCCTTGTAAGTGGCAGAAAGTACTACACTACTATACAACATGAATTGTCAATACTTATATGATCACTGATTGAAGTTAAGCGTGTAAATTATTAGATACTGACTTAATAGTTTAAAGGATAATAAGAATTGATGAAGAGTTTCATATTAAATTGAAACCAATATCTAACAATTCCTTATTTCAATTATTATCTACGTAGATTCAATCTATAATATAAACTATGATGCTATATTAACTCAACGTCTTGTACTGAACGAGAACACAAGTGGGAACAATCGAATGTATTTGAACATAAAACTATAAAGTATCTTGGTAAAATCTAAGGTACATACAGTGAATATTTCATTTACAAAATGTCAATCAATTGTCTTGTAGTGGCTGTGTTTCGTTGACCAGTCACCCTCGTAACCGTTACCATATAATCCTCAACGGTTTTTGAAATCAGTAAGCAAAGAGAAGCAGCGACTACGGTTTTATTAGCAGATAACTCACACCACAAAGCAGTGAGGCGAATGAGTCAGCGAACCGAGAATGTAGAGTGTGTAGAGTGTGAATATATATATAGGGAAATGAATGGATCATCGAATTAATTAAGCAGTTAATAATAAAGCTAGCAGAATGAATGTATGCCTAGGCGGTAAGCAAACTCAATTGCACATGAGTTGCTATAGTCTCAAACTTCATTGTTCTTTCCTTTCGACACTAATCATTCTTCGTTCTTGTTCGCATTTCTTTGATTTTCTTGACCTCCTACCTCCAAGCATTTCACTTTCGATAGATAATACGTAATACTTATATCTACCGACATCGGTAACACACATACCACAGTTTGACTCACATCTCGTTTATTAATACTCCTCTTAACTCTATAAATTAATTGATCATTTACTGGTTTTTGTTTAAAATATGAATAAACGATTTCTAATGTCTGATTGTTTTTTTTTTAATAAACAATTTATCAACATTTATCATTGAACATATGAATGTAACGAGAGAAAAAAACAAAAAAAACTTTGTTGCGCGGATAATATAAAATTCAAAATTGCTTTGACACTTTATCCTAACTAACCCTTGAATTAGTTGTGAATGTATTTGAGAATATAAAATAATGGGAATATTATAGTAAATTGATTAGGAAATCTGTATATGTATATGGATTTGATTTATCCTCTTTGTATACAATTTACTTTAGTCTATTTATCTTTAAAGTGCCAGTTAGGATAAGATTGGTATTATAAATATATTTTTTCTTTCCCTGAATTTTGCTATCAGCCCTTTGGTTATTATTATTATTATTATTAGTAGTAGTAGTAATAGTAGTATTACTATTACTATTGGTATTAACGTTATTTTCATTGTACCAAATAATCTTTGCATACGTTAATCAAATTGGTGAATTATGTCTACCTTTATACATAAAGGAAGACAACAATATTAATAATAATAACAACAACAACACAATCCATTGTATCCAATGCATTTCCAATTCACACATTAAGGTATTTTCTCTAATTAAAAGCAATATTTAATCGGACTTATACAAATGATAAGTAGTTAGATGGTTAGATAAATAAATAGAATAGGTAGATAGATAGATAAAGATATACGAAATTAGTGAATAATTGAGTAAGTGAATGATTATAAATGATGGGATATAGTTGTATATAATAAATGCTCAAGTTGTAAAGGGTGATAACGAATACTTTCTTCTTGTTGGTGTATATATATGACAAAAGTTAATGGTGTGATAATTTCAATTGAGGAGTTAACTATATGTACATTTGTTGTATATATTTAATGGATTATTATTATAACTATTACTAACATTACTATTACTATTTGAGATAGATTCTTAGTTGTGTTGGGCGGGGCAATCTAATGGAATAATTATTTATAGAATATGAGATATACATAAATATTTATAGGGAGTAAGAGAGAGAGAGAGAGAGAGAGAAATAGAATACTCACAAGATTGATTGACTAAATTTTGCCTGACTTATAATTGGTTAATTTTGTTATTCTAATATTAACTATCATAAATCTCTATTGTTCTAAAACTTATTAGAATACTAATATCGGGTGAATAAATGAACTAATGAATAGCTTGTCGAATGATAATAGTAATCTGAATATTAATAATAATAATAATAATACTGTTTATTATTCTTTTATGGTGATATGAAAAATGAATTCGATAGAATAAAATAATAATACTAATAGTAATCTATATATATATATATATATATATATATATATATACATATATATATATATATATATATATATATATTTGCGTTATGATCGGGGTGTGTCAAGTACTTATCAATGATTTGAGCTCATTTGGCGCCAATACCATATGTATATATATATATGTGTATATATAGTCTCGTCCCCACCCTCATCAGTCTCTCATGAAGACAACAATAAGCCTAGTTATTGTTATTTTAATGTTAAATAAATTAATAATCATCATTAATTTAAGAAAGTGAGAGCGAGAGAGAGGTACATGAAAGTACGTAGTTATTAATTTTAATAAATAATATGATAGGCATTAGGTGTTGTTGTGTTTTTTATTATAATTTTAAACCTAATAATATTCACCTAATAAATCTATTATTTTTATATAAAGAAAGGTAAA